AGACACCACCAAGGATGACCGCGTGCTGGCATCCCGCAAGGCCATTGAATTTCACCGTGAGGCGGTGACATCCTTCACCAAAGACAAGCCTGCCTCCTTCAGCACTGCAGGGCCGATAGTCCCTGGATCTTCCAATACATGTAGCAGTGGCACCTGACTGCCCTAGTGGCTACAGACAGCACGCCATGTGAGCTCTAGAAAATACAACGCAGACACTGCAAATACTGAAAACATGTTATTCTGTGTAGTCTTTGGCTCCAAATCCTATTGTTCCTGGATGTAGTAAAACTTTACGTGACAATAATCTAGGCCGATCAGAGCGTATTCATAATTTTTCCCCTTTTTAGGTTTATCGGCTTTACATGTTAAGGCGAACCGCAGCTACAAGAAGCACCAACAAACAGCAAAAACTGCTTCACGAAAACGCAATACATGTATTGGGATTTTGGAAACCATCAAGAATTGCCAGAAAAAGGACCAAAATTCCTGCATTCCAAAATAATCCATTGGAGTCAACTTCCAGATTTATCCTTTATCTGGATTTTATCCAGATTTTTCATTTGGATAAACATTCGCTAAAATCGATGCTCAACAATTGTTGCATCTTGCGTTACCAGCTCGACGAGGGCATCAGATACTTCTGGCCCAAAGGCTCTGGGTCGTGCGTCGAGGTGCATCTGAGGCTCCAAGTTAGCGCCAACGTCGGGATGCAGCGGGCAAGTTGAACCGCGTTGCAATTTGCAATTTGCAAACACCGGACATCCAGTCACCGTGACCTGCATGAAGATCACGTTCGCGTTTGCAACGCGCGCGAAAGTGGAATCCGCACTGACGCCAGGCGAGAACGCTACGTTGTCAACATGTTCCGACCCTGCGTTGACAGGGTGTCCTATCCAAGGATTCCGGCGCGGTGACAGGGCAAGTTGTTTGCCGGATCAATTCGGTGTGCGACGACACTGCAACGAAATCCACGGCGGACCAAACGCACAAGAGCGAACGACTGGTTGCGGTGGATCAAATTGGGTAAGTAGTGATATTTCAATTATGTACAGCGCTAGAGCGACGAGGAATTTCACGGCGATCTTTACAATGCGCCAGCCTCGTCACTGAAGTCTCTGAGGTGCAACTAAATGCTGAAAAAACAACGACACGAATAAGTGCACAATATACAAAAAAGCACGGCACAGCAGCACGCGTCCTTGGTTCTGCCTGCACGCTCTTCTGAGTGGACTCGGATCTCACTTAAATATGGACATCCGAGTAGCTCTCCGGAGCTGCCGTAGGGTCAGCCTTCGACACTGCATCAACACTGCTGCTGCCAGTGGGGGACTGGGTGGACGCCGTGGACTTGGTGTTGCCAATCACGTCGTTCTTGTCCAGGCTGAACGAGTCGCGCGACTCGAACATGTTTGAGCAGGATGCGGGAGTCTGAGCAGCGTACAGAAGTTTGGCCGGCAGAGGCGTCTCTAGCTCCTCGGTGCTCTGCGTCACGATCTTCTCGAGCTCCTTGGAGTTGCGCAGTTGCAGCTGAGCGAACTCCAGGAACAGCTTCTTGAGCTCCACAGCCTTCTGGCCGCGGAAGCGTGTCACCTCACGCATCACACGCGCGTGGACACGCTCGAAATCGTCCTTGGCGGCGACCAGTTCGTTGCTCAGACGGGTGGCAGACGGCGAGTCCGGGCCGTCGCCGTTCACCGCCTTGCGGTGCGCCGCGATCTGCGCCTGATACAGGTAACGGCGGTCCTCACGGACGTCCAGGGCTTTCTGCACAGCCTTAATCCAACGGGCAATGTCGTCAACACTGGCGGAGAAGGCCTCGAGCTCGGCGTCCATCTGACGCGCACGCGTGTCCAGCATGGCCAGCAGAGCGCTGTAGTAGGACGTGGGCATCTCGGCGTTCTCTTCCTCGGCGTCGGCCACCCA